TTGATCTAAGTCTAGGTAATTGATGGATATGATATGAGAAGATCTGAGCTGTTGTTTATCTTATTTCGAGTGACAATAAAGTTCTAGAGATTTATCTTTTGAAAAACACAAAAATATTACATGATGAGTTCCTGTATGATAAAGTTTGAATTCCTACCAGAGCCATACATGTTATTTAGGCTAGGAAAACTTCCACATATATGCTGCTTGTTTTTGCATTAAGTTTTGTCAAGCTTTGTTGACTCTTATGAGAGGTTTGTCAAGCTCTTAAAATCAAGATCACGTACACACCACCCACATATGCCCTACTCCTACACTAGGGATAGACACAAAAACATGCCTTTCATCTAGATCCACCCAAAAATGTTCTACTCATACACTGGGGGTGAACACAAAAATATGTTTGTTAGGTTTTCCATCCACCAAATAAATGCTCCAAATTCTTGTTGCTATCTCTCAAAAGTTTTGTTGCAGAGAAGAGGCATGGGGCTATACAAAAGTTATTCATAAAAAAAGAAAAGAAAATAAAAAAAGAGTTGAGAAAAAAATGGATGTGTCCGAGATATCTAAAACAATGGGACTTAGATGCCCGCCTAAAAAAGAGAGAGATGAGTAAGATAGCCCCTGCTCTCTAGAAAGTGTTTCCAAATTTCAAAAGAGAGATAAGTTTTCAAGGAGCAAAGTAGAATTAGGATTAGCTACCATATATATCCACAATATATTCCACACACATGTACATCTTGATTTGATTGTATGACTCAACTCTCTTTGGATCTGGGGTTTAACTTTATAATATATGCATTGCAAGTATGCTCTAGCTTTCTCCCTACCTATGAACTCCACATAAGCTTTAGTGGTAGGAAGAGAAAAAGGCATAACTTCTTTATTGCCTTGGTGAGGATCCACAAATACCACATTTATTGAGAGATTTGAGAGTGTCATACAATAGAATCTCTAAGTTTTATTTTGAAAATTTATAAAAACTCTGGAACAATGGTTAAACAAAGAACTTGAGATATAGTGCTTGACTTGATCGTTCTGTCTTTCAATTGCTCAAAATCCAAGTGAAGGCTAAGAATCCCCATGGTTAAAGGTAATATGGGTAAGTTTGAAAGACAGATCGGTTTATTCTAATCCGGAGGAGAATTCTTGTTTGAACACATGTGTACTTTTGAGGAGTGAAAACATTGATGCAACTCCTGATCTATTGCTGAGTTTAGCTTTGCTTAGGGACTAGCAAAGGTTAAATGTGGGGGCTTGTTGACGGTCGTTAACATCAATCATAGACCGTCAACATAACTTATATAAATGTATAAAAAGGATTGCCAATATAGGTTTAAGGGTTTAAACTGACAAATTCCATGAGTTTTGGCGAATCTGTGTTTTCAGCAAGGTTTATCCAGAAAACTGGCAAGGAGGACCTATTTGTCAAAGCAAATCACGTTTATCCGCAGCGAAACTGGCGTGGGAAGACTCTAGAAGGCAAACCACCAAAGCGAAGGGCAGGTGGCTACCATGTGGGGCCGCCTGGCCCCCTGAGCCCACCTGTCAGCCCCTCCTTCAAATGTCAGTTCTCCATCGCCTCCTAGATTGCATCTATGCCGTTCTTTCAAGTCGGTTTGATCCAAGGGTCCAGAATTGATGCTCCGTCCTATATATACCAGCCCCTGCCCCCTCCCTAGAGCCATCTTGAAACCCTAATTTATATTCTCCTCGTCAGGATCAGAGCCAGCTATCAAGAGAAGATTAGTCCTCCATAGGATCTAGTCTTATAAATAGAAATGGTGAGATAGAGAGTGAGGGAAGAGTTTGGAGAAGGTGCCGGCCTGTCGGTGCTCTCTCTATGGCTTGTAACTTGGCGGATCCAAGTTCTATCTGAGCTTGCCTCTGAGATTTCTCTGGTAATCAACTTCTAATTCAAGTAAAATTCTTGTTTATATTATTCATCAGGTTCACAACTTGTTTGAGTGCTTTATTCTTTATCCGGAAAGAGTAAAGTAGTAATTGTAGTGTAAGCGTGGTGCTTAGACTCTGGTTACTTGTGGATGCATCTTGCATTCCGGATCGGTGGTAGCTCGCGAGGGTGACTCTTATAGCCTCGTTGAATCCTCTGTAGTCCACCTCCTGTTTGTAAGGGCACGTAGGACGCGGTTGCGAAGGAAAGCATCCTCTGCTGGTGTCTTTCTCTAATAATATCCCTAGTTGAATAGTAGAAGACATAGCTTACCCAAGTCAGAATTAGAGAACCTTAGTTTTCCTCTCTACGCTCTTATTTATCCTAACCTTGTTGATACCGTTAGTTAAATTAGACCGAAGTTAGTCTCACACGTTTTCCTGTGGATACGATACTTGGAATACTTCTGGGTGAAAGCTACAGCAGTATCCATGCGCTTGCAGATTTATCTGTGTGCGTTAAAATATACCAACAACCGTCTCGGAAAATAATCTGTTAACCGAGGCGGTTGCCTTAAGGTGACTGCCTCGGTTAATCCCAGGCATTAACTGAGGCGGGCAACTGGGCCAACCGTTTCGGAGCCCCAAAACCAAACGCCTTATAAAAGATTTTGCGTAGTAGTGATGGTTTGTTAGAGTTAACATGCATGGAGCCTCTAAACATTTTCTCTCACTAGTAACAGTGAATTAATTCTCAATGTTCCAAAGAACTGTAAATCCTTTTGGGGTGCAAGCATGATCGGGTTTTTTTAGGGGAACAGGAGGGGTGTTACCCCCTTCTGGGATTTCAGTGATCAGTCCTATAGTCTGTACAAATAAATCCCCTAACACACCTAATGTTCGGTGGGATGTGTAATTTGACCCTTGGCACGCACCCCTATGTAGCATGTCAGAAACTCAACATACGTGTACGCGTGCAGAAATTGCCAAGCGTGAAATTCCGCTCATTCTCCGTGCCACACAGGTTAGGCCACTAGAGTGTGTGCAGCAATAACACTGATGAATTTAGATGATCATGCTCTATAGGTCAAACGATCAATTATGTGAGTGAATCTTTAATTCTTTCTATGCTGCACATGTAGACACCAAGGAATATATTAGTGCTGTATGGGTCCGGTCCCTACTTTGCGATATATATGAGATCATGCAATGGTGATGTTAAATTAAAGCAAGTAAAAGTGGTGGTGTGGATGGTTTGTTTCTCTGTCATGTGTCATCACAAGCGATGGTGGGGTGGTATCAAATCTATGGAATGGAATCCCGTCCATGAGAAAAACTGCCAATTTACATGTGTGCCTCATCGCTCCGCCTAATTATTGGACACCAACCCTACCCCTTGTGTCGCCTTTGGTTCCCTCTCTTCTCTCCCTTTCTCAAGTTGCGTACCGCTTTTCTTCTTCTCACTACCGGATCCAGGAGCTTTGCCGAGTGCCGAGGGCACTCGGCGAAGACCCAAAAACACTCGGCAAAGGGTTTGCCGAGTGTTACACTCGGCAAACCCTTTAACGGCAAACGCTTGTTTGCCAAGTGTTTTTTGTCGGACACTCGGCAAATACGTTGTCGAGTGAAAAAAAACTCGGCAAACTTTTTTTTCAAAAAATAAAAATAAAAAAGGCAGGCCGCCATCCACGCCCGCACCACTAGCACCGTCGCCGCCATCCACGCCTGGGGTGCGCCGGCCACCACCACCACCACCACCACCGCCGGATCCTCCACCGGACGAAGGAGAGAGGGTGTCACGCCGCGCCTGAGCCGGATCCGCCACTCCACCACCAGATCCACGAGCGTCTCCACCGGATCCTTTGCCAGAGGAAGGAGAGAGGGCGCCCAAGCCAGATCCGCTGCTCCACCACTAGATCCACGAATGCCTCCACCGGATCCGCCGCCAGACGAAGGAGAGAGGGCGCCACGCCGTGCCCAAGCTGGATCCGCCGCTCCACCACCAGATCCGCGAGCGCTTCCATGGGATTTGGCCAGACGTGTGACGAGGGAGAGAGGGAGGGCCGGATCCGCCTCGAGGAAGCCGCCGCCATGCACTGGGGTCGGGAGCCGCCACTGGGACCGCTGCTTTCGGGCTCGGGAGGCACCGCCGTTGTTAGGGGCCGTCGCCATGCAAGACGGCCCCGCCACAGGCGCACGACACATCGCCGGGAGGGCCGAGCCGCCCTGCGCCATCGTGGGAAGAAGAAGAAGGAGGGAGGGGGGGGCGGATCCGGCATTGCCGTGGGAAGAAGAAGGGAGGGAGGGGCGGATCGACGGCCGTCGCGGGAAGAAGGGAGGAGGGAGGGGGCGGATCCAGCAGCCGTGGGTGGGGAAGAAGAAGGGAGGGAGGGAGGGGCCGGATCCGGCTTGGGGGGAGGAGGAGGGAGGGGCCGGCCGTCCAGTGGGGAAGAAGGGAGGGAGGGGAGGGCGGATCAGCAGCAGGAGGAGGGGAGGGAGGAGGGGGCGGAGGAGGAGGGAAATCGCTGGTGCTGGGGTGCTGGGAAAGTGGGGACTGGGATGGGAGGGGCGGCAGGCGGGACAGGGAAATTTGGGAGGGGGCGGGTTTTATTATGGTGGTTATTTATTTATTTATTTATTTATTTACTTTGCTGAGTGTTGATTTTAATACACACGGCGAACCTCCCTTTGCCGAGTGTTTTTTCGTGACGCTCGGCGAATCCTCTATTTGCCGAGTGGTTTTTGTTTGACACTCGGCAAACTCTTATTTTTGCTGAGTTTTTTTTTTTTTGCCGAGTGTTTTTAGGATAACACTCGGCAAAGAATTTGCTCGTCGAGTGCCCGAGAGAATACACTCGGCAAACAAATAAACACTCGGTAAATTTGAGGATTCCGGTAGTGTCTTTCGAAGCTGCTATATAGCGGCCTCTTCCTCTCCTTTTATATCTACCTTGGACTTGGCGGCCGGAGGAGCTATAGTGAGCTACCAATAAGGCCCATCTTCCTCTTGTGGGCTGTAAGCAGCAGTCACCTCTCAGTCACACACATGGTGGGTATGAGAGGTGCCTACGGTGGTGGTGCTTATAATGACAGCAAGAGCCGGCCGCATGGCGGCGGCGGCGGCGGCGGCGGCTCCGGTCACGACAGACCAGGAGATTGCGGCGATGGCAGTGCACAAGGTGGCGCCACCGCCGGCGCGGAGCACGGCGAGCAAGATGAAGGCGAGGGTGAAGGAGACCTTCTTCCCCGACGACCCGTTCCGGGCGTTCAAGGGGCAGCCGCTGGGGACGCAGTGGCTCATGGCGGTCAGTACCTCTTCCCCATCCTCGACTGGGTGCCGAGCTACTCCTTCTCGCTCTTCAAGTCCGACCTCGTCGCCGGCCTCACCATTGCCAGCCTCGCCATTCCTCAGGCAAGCAGCATCTTCTCCGTGCATCTATATCGACCATTTGGTTACTAGCTTCTTCTGTGCATGGTTGCAGTCAAATGGGATTTCCCCCCTGCCGTTTCAGACGGTCAATGGAACTGCTGTACTAGTCCATCTGTAAACGTTTCTTTACTGCAGTTTCTGTGTATTTGCAAGCTTGTTTGGAGCGGTTTAGGGGGTGTTTGGTTCCCATGGACTAAAATATTTTGGACTAAAATCTGCACTTTAGTTGAACTAAATAGCTAAATATTTGGACTAAAAGTGGACTAAAATCCTTTAGTCCTTTAGTCTACAAAACTAGACTAAAAAGTGTTAGGACACCCATGCCTCTTATTTATTGCCCTCTCTCTCCATTTTAGTCCATTTTAATTAAGGAACCAAACATCACTTTAGTCCACTTTTAGTTCATAGACTAAAGTGGACTAAAACTTTTAGTCCATGGACTATAGAACCAAACAGGGCCTTAGTACTTTATGCCAACTGTTTCATACTGTATTATATTAATTAATCCCAGCTGCATGCATGCACGCATGCACACACGGTTCTTGTGCTCTGCAGGGCATTAGCTACGCGAAGCTGACAAGCTTGCCTCCCATAATTGGGCTGTGTACGTATCTGTATCTCTGCTGGCTGTCGTCTCTATCTATCTGTAATTTCAACTTCAAGTGATCGATCGATGAGCAGCAGAAGCAGCAAGTCAAGTCTAATATGCTGGATGGATGCATGCATGCATGCAGATTCGAGCTTCGTGCCGCCGATGGTGTACGCGGTGCTGGGGAGCTCTCGTGACCTGGCGGTGGGCCCGGTGTCGATCGCGTCGCTGATCATGGGGTCCATGCTGCGTCAGGCCGTGAGCCCCACCGCCGATCCGCTGCTGTTCCTGCAGCTGGCCTTCACCTCCACTTTCTTCGCGGGGCTGGTGCAGGCCTCCCTGGGCATCCTCAGGCTCGGGTTCGTCATCGACTTCCTGTCCAAGGCGACGCTGGTGGGGTTCATGGCCTGCGCCGCCATCATCGTGGCGCTGCAGCAGCTCAAGGCGCTGCTGGGCATCGTCCACTTCACCACCGAGATGGGCATCGTCCCCGTCATGGCCTCCGTCTTCCGTCACACCAACGAGGTATGCGTGCACTGCATGGCTGACCTCGCGGCCGGGCGCCCGCCGCCTTAGCTAGCCAATGCATGCAATTGACGGGCCCGTCACCCGTGTACGTGTCTGTATGCTTGCGTGTGCAGTGGTCGTGGCAGACGATTCTCATGGGCGTCTGCTTCCTCGTCTTCCTGCTGTCGGCCAGGCATGTGGTACGTACTCCCAATTTCTCTTTTTTGAACTACTCTTTATTTATAAATTCCCTCTTGTCGTACATACCTCCCGTTGCAGGTTTGACGACGACTAATGTCGTTTTCTGGTATGCGTAGTACGTACGTGGCGCTGCTCAGTACCGTTGGCCGGCGTTTGCCTTTCTGCTCGTTTACTTTCCTTTGTCACTAGTGTCTAGCTAGTTGCATGCATGTCCTCAGGGGCCGGCCGTCAGGCGGCTACAAACAAACCTAGCTACAGGTACTCGGTAGTACAATACGTACGTGTGGGGCGTGTGCTAGCTTGGCGACCGTCAGCTTGAGCCGAGCCGTGCTAGCTCCTGAAACGTGAGACCGCAGAAACCCCAGGTACCGAACCCCACGGCAGAAGAAGATTCCGAGGACAACGGGTAGTGCCCCGGGCCGGGAAGATAGCCATGCATGCATATGCAGATGCAGTCATGGATGAAATGGTCGCTCTCTGTCGATCTGACCGTGGGCATTGGAAGGATCTGCGCGTCATTTTTCAGTTCTGGTCCACGGAATCTTGTTGCTGGTCCTGGCACGAAGTGCTATCTCATCGCCTACCGCCGGCAACATATACATAGGAGTATTTTGCTAGCTAGTACTATATATGCTCCAAAAGCTAATGGTAAAAAACTTCGTGTCCAAAGCCGGAAAAATAATGGAGCTAGCTTATATAGATAGTACGTAGACAGGTCTTAGCGGACCCATTTGGACGAGTGTGTGTTGGTGGATCCGAAGTTTGCTACGTATTGGCGACGTTGGAAGCTACCAGTACTGTGATATCAGCCATGGCAATACGTAGTGGTCTGTTCACGAGTGAACAATGGACGGCACGTCGGCAATTGAGGTCCACACCATGCATGTCAGATGTACGTGTCATGTATGTGAGGACAACTATGCCGTAAGCCGTATAGATGTGTGAAGAGCCTTCTGACCTCGGTAAACCAAACTATCTTTCTGAATAATTGATGCTTAACATGTCCAATCTTAGTTGTGCTGCTGTGAGTGCTGTCACTCTGTCAGGCTGAGTCACGGGGTCTCTGGGCGAGTAGTGCCCGGCTACCATTGTCTCATCTCTGTTCTGTAACATGTGTCTGGCTGTGAAGTTGAACAGAATATCTGCAGAACTTCGTTCGTGTGCTGTGTGAAATTTTGCTAGCCATATACGGAGTACTGTATGTTGGTTGCGACCGAGATTTTGATTGCTAAACATTCCCTCTGCAAGCCTGGAACTGTGTTAGCAGAATGCACAAGTGACGTAACTGTCTGCTGATTGTTCTGAAATGACTGTGGTGTCAGAGAAGAAGTTGATTTCAGAATCTCAGTTACATTCTTGATGCAGTCCATCTGCAGTGACACTTTTTCCACCTCGTCGTCCCTGTATGCAGAGCATAAGATGGCCAAAACTGTTCTGGGTTTCAGCATGCGCGCCCCTGACATCTGTCATCATCTCGACCCTGCTTGTTTACCTCTTCAAAGCTCAGAATCATGGCATTAGCATTGTAAGAACTGAAACATCTGAAAGGAATTTTGTTTTGCTAGTTGTCTTTGCAACAAGATGACAATCAAGGATTTTTTTTTTTTGAATTTTTTCACCACAGATTGGGCAGCTCAAGTGTGGCCTGAATCGACCCTCATGGGACAAGCTACTGTTTGACACAACATATTTGGGCCTCACCATGAAGACTGGCCTTGTCACTGGAATCATCTCTCTTACGGTATGGCTTACACATCGTTTTGTTTTTATCTTAATCAAGCATTGTGCTTGACAAATCTCTAAGACAAACATATTACATCATACTATTTCGCTAGAACTAAGCAGTTCCGTTGTTTTTCATCCAAGTTGGCTCACTGCTAATGGAATGTGGATGTAATTTCACCACTGCAGGAGGGAATAGCAGTTGGTAGAACATTTGCCTCACTTAGGGAATACCAAGTAGATGGAAACAAAGAAATGATGGCCATAGGGTTGATGAACGTTGTTGGCTCATGTACATCATGCTACGTAACAACAGGTACAGTTTTTTGTTTGTTTCTTTTTTGTTTTTTTGCCAAATCATGTCCAATCTTCGATCAGATTCTTGGTAGATTTATAGGATCAGTACCAAGACAGAGAATGATCATTGGCTTTATCTTATTTTTCATCAGGAGCATTCTCCCGCTCTGCTGTAAACCACAATGCCGGCTGCAAGACTGCCATGTCCAATGTGATCATGGCACTGACTGTGATGGTCACCCTGCTGTTCCTCATGCCCTTGTTTGTGTATACACCAAATGTTGTCCTTGGAGCAATCATTATCGCTGCGGTTATCGGCCTGATTGATTTGCCTGCTGTGTACCACATCTGGAAGATGGACAAGATGGATTTTCTGGTGTGTGTTTGTGCATTTGCTGGCGTCATCTTCATCTCAGTCCAAGAAGGCCTGGCAATAGCGGTAAGGGATACTAGCTATGCTTCAATGTGCATGCTCTATTTGCTTGGTACTCACATTTATTTTTATAAAAAATGCAGGTTGGTATATCTATATTTAGGGTATTGATGCAGATCACAAGGCCAAAGATGATGGTTCAAGGGAACATCAAGGGGACTGATATTTACAGGGAGGCCCAAAGAGTTTCCGGGTTCTTGATCTTGGCCGTTGAAGCACCAATAAACTTCGCTAACTGCAACTACCTGAATGAAAGGTAACAGCAATTTCCTTACAATTCAGTATGTATTCTAGCATTTCACTTGCATGATAAACATAGAGAACAAGTTGACAGATATATATCTGTTATTTCCATTTGCAGGATTAAAAGATGGATAGAGGAAGAATCTTTTGAACAGGATAAACATACTGAACTCCAATTCATAATCTTGGATCTGTCAGGTCAGTGACTTATTACAGCATATATGGCATTTTTTTCTCTCGAAAACACAGGGGAACTGCGCGTCAATATATTAAGACAGAGAAAATGGAACGATCCGGCATTGTTCATTGGAACTATTTTGTGAAATAAATTTTGTGTTTTAAAAAAAATAGAGGAAAAATAACAGTTACAAATAGTTCTGAATTAGCTTGTCATTATGCAAAATTTGCTTTGCTAGTTGTCAAGTGCTAGCTAACAGTAAGTTTGGAAAGTTTTATTCTAGACCAGAAACACAGAAGATGCAATGTCTGCAATGTATTAAAAATACTTGTGTGCAAAATAGTTGCCTCTGTTTGTAATACCTTATAATATTTTCTGTTTTTCTATTAACAAATAGAAATTATATTTTCAGCTGTTCCTGCAATTGACACAAGTGGCATAGCGTTCCTCATTGACATAAAGAAATCAATAGAGAAACGTACGTGGTCTGGAGGTATGCTCTTCAGATATGAAACTTCAATTATTCTTATAAAAAAGTGAAAAGGATTTTTGTATGTCTTTTTTTTCGAAAGATAAGGATCTTTGAATTTCAAATTAACTTTTTATTGTGTTGCAGCTTGTGCTTGTCAATCCAACTGGAGAGGTCATGGAGAAAATACAACGAGCAAACGAGGCTCAAAACTATTTTACGCCAGATTGCTTGTATCTGACCACTGCCAAAGCAGTCGCTTCACTTTCTGCACTTGCCAAGATGACAAAACCCTAAATGGATTGCTGAATTGTCATTGTGTTCATCCATTGCACTGTTAAAATTTCCGGTGCAGGATTTTATGTTTGTATCTAGTAGAATTCTTCAGATCCATGTGACACAAATTCAGTAATAGAATGTGAATTGTGAAGTATTGGAGTACCGAGTACCCAACAATATTTGTGTACATGAAAAAAATATGAGAGTACAATAGTAGATCTTACAGAAAAATTCTTTTGCAGCGATAAATATTAGGTGTTATAAGAGTAGAGACTATATTTGAATTCGTCTATTTACTACAAAGTTCTTCGTTCTACATCAACCATTGGTACTTAGAGGTGCACAAGTAGATATATATCAGAATACCCTAATTGACACCCCACTTTGCAATATGTCACTCGAGAGTACTAGTAGATAACTTACATGATGCATGAAATCAAAGTCATCTTGGAATTTCAGATGATTGTAGGAACTCTTTCTCCAAGCTGAAGAGTCTAGTGCCTTCACTTCCTTTATTTCCGTTGTGTGACTCAACTTTTGGGACATTTTGACTCACTCTTGGAATCCTAGAATTGTGATGGACCTTTGAGCTTTGCACATCTTCCAGTGTTGTCTCTACTTGCCTCATTGTAGGTCTTTCTTCACCTTTTAAGCTTAAGCATGCCATTGCAAGCCTCGCAACCACCTTGGCATCTTCAGTCCCTCCCTCTTCAACAATTTGTGAATCTAGAATATCCGACAAGCGATTGTCTCTTATCAGTGACACAAAGTACGATGCTAGGCTTGCACCCTCCGATGAATGAGAAGAGAAAACTGATTTAACCCTTGTTAGTAGTTCTGCCAAGATGACACCAAAGCTATAAACATCACTCTTTTCTGTGAGTCGGCTAGTATAGTAGTATTCAGGATCAAGGTAACCATGAGTTCCTTGGATAGCTGTAAGTACTCCTGTCTCATCTATTGAAATTGATCTTGAAGCTCCAAAATCTGATAACTTTGCTGTCAAAATATCGGTAAGTAGTATATTTGCAGATTTGATGTCTCTATGGAAAACTGGTACAGAAGCAGCGGAGTGTAGATATGCGATTGCTCTTGCAGTTTCCAGTGCTATCCTCAATCTATCTTTCCAAGACAAAGGATGCTCACTTTGGCCGTGAAGATGGTACGATAGAGTTCCATTGGATATGAACTCATATACCAACAAAGGAACTTCTGTTTCAAGGCAACAACCAAATAACTTCACCACATTCCTATGGTTAGTTTGTGAAAGTATGACGACCTCATTTATGAACTGATCAATTTCCTTTTGAACTATAATTTTGGACTTCTTGATAGCCACAACACGCTGATCAGATAAGATCCCTTTGTAGACTGTGCCATGGCCTCCGCCTCCTAGGATGCGATTCTGGTCAAAATTATTTGTTGCTTGTTCTAATTCTTCTAAGCTGAAAATCTTCAACCTTTCGGCTATATCTTTATTTGAGGTGATTAACTGCTGGAGAAGCAATCCATGGTTTCTCTTGAAAAAAAATTCTCTCAACTTCTTGGCCTTTTGTTGCTTGAGTCTCTTAGTGATTTTTGCAGCACCAAGAAGTGAAAACAATAGGCCAAAACCAGCACTGATTGCTATTATAGTAATTAAACCTGCAGAATTTAACCCAAGGATTTACAATACAATACAAGTGGCACACAATATTTTCAAGAGTGTGAAGTTGGATCTATTTAATTCTAAGACACAAGGTCAGCTGCTGAAATACACTGCATTATTGTACAATATCTTTTGTTTCTTTTCCTTTTGCCCCTTAATTTGATCTAGATGCCCATACTTTGCAATAGCATCGAGGAATAGTTATTTCGAAACCAAAGAAATGTACTGCATGATAGATTATCCTTGTAGCAATAAGGAAAACCTCTTTTCAAGCAAGAGGAAGTCGTATTTTGTACCTGGAAGGCTACTGATCCTTTTCTTTGACGAACATCGGTATGTCCCTGGCAAATTGATGCAGATTCCATGGCATGGGTAAATATCTGGCTGTTGGCACTCGTCGATGTCTGGAAAGAATATATATAGTAAAAATAAAAATAATGTACCTACTTACAAAATAGGTTTACATGCCATCATGCTAGTTTGTCAAAGGTACAATGGTGAAATAGCCCTAGAAAACTGTCTCGGGGCTCGTTTGAAAGACGTTAGATATTTTAATTAAGAGGCACAATACTGAGTCTTATAATTGAGGAGGGTTATGTGATCAACCCTCAAGTTATATGTAGAGTGTTTTCTATTGTTCGTTATCTCACAACCATGTTACCATCCACGTAATATGCATCACAAGGAGTTATTTAAATGATTTTTTTATATTTTGAAGAGGTAAACTATCTGGTTTTCTAGATAAATGGGTGAAAATAGATGAATGTCAATAGTTGAGAGGGTTGAGTCGTAGACTTTGTCGAAACTTGATCATACTTTTCTTTGTGATATATGTATTATAGTGGGGCATGTGACACATCCCGTTAAATCAATAAGGTCAATAGACACATTTCAATTGAACTGGGATAATTTGAGCGGAATACTGCAAGAAGTTCTAAAGGATAGTTGTAAAGAATAAAGGGGGAAAATGGGTTGAAGATCTCATAACTAACTAAAAATACAGTCAACTATGGAGAACTGAATCCTCGTATTTTACAGGGAAAAATTGAATTTTGCGGTCAATCTAAGCACCATTCTGAAAAGTTAAATATCCAACCTAGTTAATCGGAAATTGAAACGGTCAATCTAAGCACCATTCTGAAAAGTTAAATATCCAACCTAGTTAATCGGAAATTGAAAAGGCTAAAACGGGCTCGTCCCTAAGGCCACAGCCTGCCTTTCCCCGCTATAGGCCCATCTTCAGGAGGCCTATCAGGCCCAAAACGCTAACGTCTCAAACTTGCTGAAACACGGGACAATGTCGTTGTTGGTGGACATTTCGGTTTCTGAAACACTGAACTTGTTCCTTATAGCTACTGTTTCAGTGGAAAGGAAAAAGAGTGAACTCAGCAGCAAGCGTACCTTGGCATCCATTAGCGATGTAAGGATTGCCCTCGAATCCATTGGAGCAGTTGCACCGTGCCCGCCCAACATTGCTTCCAGCAACGCCGTCTTCAACTATGGTGCTATTCAGGCTTATGCATCTGCCAACGCTACCGGGGTCTTCCCATTCCAAGAACATGTCCGAATCACGGCTCCTATCCAGCGACCACTCCAGCACCGTCGGAACCACCCACGTATCGACGGTTCTCTGTGGCTCACCAGAGTAGTCCAGCTGCAGAACGGTCGCGTTTCTGACGAACCACTCCTGGTCAGCGATGAACAGCGCCGCCAGCCTCGAGGTCGTCGAGCTGGCGGCGGGAGTCTGGAACTGGAAGGACAAATCACTGAGCTGGATCCCGTACGACGAGTGGCCGGCGGATACGGGCGTCTGGCAGCAGCCGACGCCGGAGCAGGAGGTGTCGCCCAGCTGGGACTGGGACCTGTCCGCGCAGAGCGCCGCGCAGACACTGACGTACTCGTCCCCGTCGATGGCGTCATGGACGACGAGGCTGGCGAGCAGGTTGCACCCCATGGCCACGAACCGGTTGCGCGTGGTCGACACGGCCAGGCGCCCGCCGGTGGGCGTCACGCCCGCGGACCACGAGCCGTTGACCCGCGTGGAGGTGGAGGTGGAGCTCCAGTTCCCCGGGACCGGGAGCGAGACGCTCAGCATCTTGGTGTGGATCCGCACCGTGCCTTCGGCGAGGGAGATGCCGACGACCTCCACGCCGTCCCCCACGAGGAGCCTCGGCGGCCGGCCCGGCGGCGTATCGTCGCATGTGAGGTTGAATCCCTCGCGGAAGCAGCCGTGGCGGGTGCCGAAAGGATAGGGGACGGTTATGTTACCGCACGTCTCCGGGCAGCCGGGCAACGCCACTGGAAGAGGTGCCGCCGCTGCTGTTGCCACTACGAATAACAGGTGGAACGCTAGCGCGACGATCTTTTTTGCTTCCGTGGAACTGCTAGAGGAGAGCAGCTCCATCTTGTTGAGAGTGCTGCTCCAGTCCTTGATATGAGGAAAACACCACGGCTGAAGACCCGCTTCTTGTAGGATCAGAAGTTCAGAACACCCGCGCCGTGCCGTATGGAACGGGGAAGCTGAAAGTTCGTCGCGTTCGCGTATCGTCCGCGGTCCGCGCTACCAAACAAGATTTTCTTTGGAGAAATTATCTATCTATCATAGAAGATTAGAAGGTGATGTGATGACTAGCTATTCAACAAAACGCGTGCAGCATATAAAACTCTGAAGCAGCTGACTAGCTAAAGTAACGCCACAACATTTTGTGCGCTTGCCTCACCCAGGCAGCCATATTATATTTGGTGAACTTCGCCGTATATAATACTCCTATACTACTGCTTAAATTCAAAATGGCTTTGGCTTAAATTCTAAAGAAAATCAGAATGGCAGCTGCCGGTTTCGAATAGTTGCCTTTTTTATCATTGCAAACGTCCTGCTGAGTCCCTTCTGAATCCTGATCAACGATGAGCGCCGCTCTGAAACCCAATATAGCTGGTCAGCCTGGTTGCCTGGAGTCTCTTTTTTTTTCCAGATCGGGTGTTCAGCCCGTGCCTGGAGTCTCTTTCATTTCACGGTTTCAGTTGGAGTTTTGAGGCCGCACCATGTACTGAAGACTTTTTTTCTCTGCTTTTTTCTTCTGGGTGAGAAGAACAGGGAGGCCCTTCCCCTGTTTTTTTCTGGTGCATTTCAACACACCGGTCCTGCCGCTAGTTTTTTTTTTATCATTTTGATTTTGAGTGATGCATTTTTTTTCTTCTTTGCAAAACCGTATAAGATACGCGAACGCTGAAAGGGCTTAATGCGCTGCTGTGATTTATCTCTGAATGGCCATCTCCTGGGCAAGAGGCCAAGATTTACTTTGACTCTATTACAGCATTAAGCCCTGCATCAATTTACAGGTATCAAGAACTCAACACATTCAAGTAGGATAGCGTAACATAGCAAAGAAAGATGGAAAAATACGACGTCGGTCGTTCTGTCTCTCTTTGCTTGTGCCATTTGCACACCTCTACAAGACGGGATACTGGATACATAACAAAATGAACAAAGTTCACTTATTTACTGGTAAATAACTTATTAGTTCTACATCAACCATAATATTGTGGAGGCGCACAAGGCTATATCTCTAAGTTTATAGTTGACGCCAAGTTTGTAAAATGGTACTCAAAATTACTAAATAAGATATGAACCCACAAAAGCAAATATCATCTTGGAATTTCAGATGACTGTATGAACTCTTTCTCCAAGCTGTATAGTCTAGTTCCTTCATTGCCTTTGCTTCGGTTGTGTGTCTGATCTTTAAGAACAATTTGAATTGTCCTTGAAACTTGAGAACTGGAGTGGACCTTTGATCCTAGCACATCTTCAAGTGTTGTCTCCACTTGCCTCATTGTAGGCCTTTCTTCACCTTTTAAGCTTAAGCATGCTTCTGCAAGCCTTGCAACAACCTCGGCATCTTTCAACAATTTGTGTGTCTAGAATATCTAACAAACGATAGTCTTTTATCACCGACACGAAGTGTGATGCTAGGCTTTTGACTTCTGACGAATGAGTAGAGAATACCGGTTTAACACTTTTATTCACTGATTCTGGTTGGCCCATCAACTTTTAGAACGAGGGTTATAAAGGAGTCATTGATGCTTTGGAGGCAAACCTCTTTAGAAAAGAAAGCAGAGCATAGGTTATAGAAATCATGCTTGATCAGAAACCAACATTTCTTTAGAAAATCATTATTAAACCCATCAGGCCCTGGAGATTTGTCTGGAGGCAAATTCTTTACAACATCATCAATTTCTTGGTTGCTAAAGGGCACCTCTAATGAGCTGAGATCACAGGGCTGGCCAAAGAGGGAATCAAGGTCAAACAACATGTTCAGGTAGCTTGAGGAGCCTAATCTGTCCTTGAAATCAGACCAAATGAGCTCAGCCTTTGAATTATGGTCATAAACTGGAACACCAGATGGGCTAGTTAGTGAAGTGATCAGGTTCCTCCTATGCCTGGCAGTTGCCTCTTTGCTTCCAGTAAATCATTTGTTGGTGGAGGAGAGAACTGAGCTTCAAATTGAGGATGTCTCTGAAATTCCATTCTTGTAATGACAGATCCCTCCATTCCTCAATAGAATCAAGGAAGGAAATAACTAATTTAACATTCTCAATTGTGATCTTGAGATTTGAAAGTTTAGCCTGCCAATACCTTAGAGCACATCTGAGAGACTTGAATTTGGCAGTCAGGAGCTTGGCTGCATCCTGTCGAGGAAAAGAGCCATTCCAACAACTAGCAACCACAGGCAAGACACTGTCATGGGCCATCCAACAATTCTCAAATCTGAAGATTCCTCCCTTAGGAATGAAAGTTTTAATCTCAATCACACAAGGTCAATGGTCAGAGGTTTCCATGACCAAGGAATGAGCAATGGTAAGAGGATACCTCAGAGTCCAAGACTGAGAGGAGAAACACCAGTCAAGTCTTTCCAAGAGTAGTGGATGCTGCTTATTGGTCCAAGTAAATTTTCTCCCATGTAGAGGAATTTCAAATTCGTATATAGTAGTATTAGGATAAAGAACTCTTTTACGGTGGTTAGGGTGACGACATGCTTTTCTTACTACTGTATACTCCGTATTTTTTTTCCTGTCAAGTTTGTATCAAGCAGCAACGGACCTCTTCTAGTTTATGATGGATTTTTCGTGAATGATTATCTAGATCCCGTGCACCAGCTAATTTTTGCCGCACACAGTGACTTGTTGTTTCTTGAAGGAGTATTGTTTTTTTTTCTTTTTATATGTTTTCTGAGAGAAATTTTTTTTTATGTGAACAAAGTAAACGAGAAGTGAGATTATGCGTTCATGTTTGGTTATTTATTTTTGTCCGGCTAAGGTTGGCTTGCCGTTGTAGCCTTGTAAGTAGTGATGGTGTACTCCTACACTACTACTGATGATTGCCACATTATTGGAGCCTATTTCAACCCTTGTCCATAGTGGTGACATACAAGAGTGTTAATATTATTATGCCTATTATTATACCAAGTAAAATTAGATCAATACACCAAAAAACTATTGATATAGTGTCGGTCTCAATCTCAATAGTCAATATCCTAGCTGAAAATAGCCAAAAAAAAATGTCATGTGAAACTTGAAAAACCGGAGAGTCGCGCTCTCGTGATTATTACACCCAGCTGACCGAGCTTGAGAGTCTTGTCACAGACGTGGCACGTACGTTTTTCACTCGACGAGACGTGACATACGTTATTGGTCGAGTGAAAATTTCTTTGGTAGTACGGCTTCATTATCGCGATCGCTTGTGCAGCTCCTTACGATCCAAGTCGTGAAGTCAAGTGTCATGTGGCTTGTGAATCCAATCCAATAATTAATAAAACAAGATGCATGGTATAATTGGTAACGAACGAAAGAGCCTAGTCATTCTCGTATGCCCCGCCGGTAATCTCCGGGCTCAACTGAACTTGTTGAGCACCCAACCTGAAAGGCCACACCGAAAGAGACTAGAAAATTATTAACACGTACCACATCGATTTGATAATCCATCTGACGAAGATCATTTGACACCGTAATTTTTATCATTTCTTTCTACAATCTTAATTAAATTTAGCTTCGTTTGACCAAAAACAACTAGAAATCTCTTCCACATCTCAGGACCGGAGAGTAGAAATACGGGGCAGAAGAGCCGGTGCTCACCGTCAAAACTTTGGTTTTACCGCAGCGTAGCGGCGATAGTCTTTTTCATCTGACAGCAAGGTGGGGAGACGACTAAAAAAGCCCACTTATTCTAGACCTATCTGTTAGGATAATATATAAATCCTTCACGATATTCACATGCGCCGTTCGCTGTACACATACCCGCGCCGCGCGGGAGCCCCCTCTCAACTCCTTCTATTTAGAGAGCTAAAACTAGAATTCCGCCTCTTTATAAGTGAAATAGTTCTAAATTTAAATCCTTTTTCTATTCCCAAGTCCTCCCAACTCCCATCCCAAGCGGCGGACAGAGAAAGAGAGGAGTTGCAAGTTGGTGAGATGGATCTATTGGAGCGGAACATTAAGAGGGGAAGGTGACGTTCGAGGTCCGACGTCGACTACAACCAGGAGGACAGGCCCGAGGCATACAGCAATGCAACCGTCCACAACCGCCTCAGTGAGTATACATCGATAGCAAAGGAGGTCCATGGGCCAGAGTACGATCCGAGCACCGAGAACCTTGATGGAGAAGTCGTCATGAGGGTGGGAGGAGGCAAGAAGCATGGGCGGTACTGTGGATTGGCGACGGCGCAATCGACTCGGCCGCTACTCCCCGTCTCTCCCAGATTCGAGCAAGCAGCACGAGCAGGAGCCCGGCCATACGACCTCGGCAGGACACTTCACACCACCGGGTGGAGGCACTCAAGGTTATTTCTGGTTTATTCGTCGTTCATTGGTTTTTTCATACCTTTCATTTGCATTATTGTAACATTGGGTGAATATATTGTAGGCCCAGCTAGAACAAGAGAGGAGGATACGGGAGTAGATGTAGGCAAAGATGGAGAGGGTGGAGGCCGAGCGGGAGGCTGAGCAGCAGAGGATGGCGGAGATTCTTCAGTACATGCAAAGTCTTGGCGCCGCTAGGGGTGTAGTTCCGCCACCTTCGCTATTCGCTCCACCTCCACCTCCTCACTATTCTACTCCTGTGAGTATAAATGTTTTAGTTTGTATGTTCGTGTTTACGGTCAAAACTAGTGGAGTATGAAAGTTTTATTCATGTATTGTATATATTTATCTTGTCTCACACATGCAATCTCTTCTCCTTTGTGCAGAATCAATCGGCGGCATCGAACCATCCTCATGCTTCAGCGAATCCTTCACCAAATCAGTGATGATACTTGTGGTTGTTAATGGTACTTCTATTTACAATTGTGGTTAAAGATGATGGAGCACTTGGATTACTTGTGAACTTATTTGTGATATATTGTGAGACATGTG